CAGGTCACCAGTCTATCACAGGGCTACACTTAGAGACAGACAACCAAGCACACTCACATTCACACCTACGGACAATTTAGAATCACCAATTAACCTCAACCTTGGACTGTAGGAGGAAGCCGGAGAGAACCCATGCTGCACGGGGAGAACATGCAAACTCCACACAGAAAGATCCCGGGTGTACCCGGCGACCTTCTGGCTGCGAGGCAACGGTGCTAACCACCGAGCCACCTTGTGATGTTACCTGAACCAAAAACAAATGTGAAAATAAATACAAATGTTCTTACACAAGAGTGATGGGTTCACTGTCATATTCCTCCCCGATTTTTATAGCAGGGGAATCTGCCTGGACCACTTCAATCGGCAGACGCAGAACTTGGGTCAAAGCTCGCAGCTGTGAAATTTAAAAAAAAGGAATTAGAGAAAAGTACGATAAAACACATCACAATGTACAGATGGGTGACAGATGAAAGGAAAATGTTTGGAGGGACATTTTGCTTGCATGGTTTTGCTTCACTTGTCAATACAAAAATGTTCCAACTGATCACTTTTTTCCTATGACAAAACATTTCTATCCTGATGGCAGTAGTCTCTCTTCTAGGAGGACAAATTATCCGTCTATGGGGCAGAAGGGTTCACTAAGGAGTTTGATGAGTTTGAAAATGATGTGAACCGCATGAATGGCCTTTGTAGATCTCAGCCCAGTTGGACATTGGTGCTCTCCACCATCATCAAAACACCAAACGAGGGAGTCTCTTTGGGAACAGTGGTCTTTTACCCCTCCAGTAGAGTTCCACAGATTGGGAGAATCACTGGAGGACACGTGGTGGCCTGACCGCTTACTAAGACACTTAATGCTGTTTTTTCCTTTAATTTTTCTGCATACGTGAACAACTTAAGAGAGACTCACTTCCAGTTGCCCACCCCAAGCCGCTGTGTGCTCCACATCACTGCAGTATTTCTCAAACTCATCTGAAAAGCAAATACAGACACTTGAATATACATACTGTGAAATAAGTACGTACACAGGCTACCTCAAATCAGACAATATGGCAGAACAATTTAGTTCCCTTTTCATCTTTCAACATTACTTACAACTGTGGCTGATTGTGTTTGTGCACCAAAACAAAGACAGTCGTACCTGTTGTGTACATGTCTCCAGTGTTGGGGTTGGTGAGGAAAGGCAGGAAGTCATCAGCATGGCTTCTCATGTGCTCGGCGGTGCGGGACCGGAGCTGCTTCACACTCATGGTTAATCCAGGCTAAAAACAAATGAAACACAATTGAACCTATAATCTTTATGTGTAACATTTCATAATAAAATATGCCATTAATATACTTGAAGACTTTATCAGAACAGCATTGTGTCATTTTCTGCAAGACAAACTTCAAACAGTGCATTTTTGCTTATCACATTTCTGATTAGGTATCCATCACAGCTACAGCCATAGTAATCATTTTGTACCTGTGATCGCTGTGCCAGCTGATCTTCCACGGCGCGGTACATGCAGTGGCCATCAGAAGAGATCTCCTTGATCTGAAGCTTTTGCTGGGCGAGTTTCTGAGCCAGCTTCAAACCCTCCTGGTGCCTGACGCCCTGCAGGTTCTGCACCTCGGCCTCAGCTATCCTGCTCTCTCTCTCCTTCTCCTGGGCCGCCTTCTTGTCCTGAAGAGGATCGTTTAAAAAGAAAAAATGCATCTAAAAAGCGCCTTAAATCATGACAGAGAATGACTCAAAATGAAGCATAAAACAGATTGATTAAACCTTTAATTATAAATTAAAGACGTATAATAGTCAGGTTGCGATCTAAGGTAATAGTGTTTACATATTAATCAAAATGTTGACTTTTATGAACAACAATTCTGGTAAAGAAATGTGCGATATTTTTAGGGTTAAGTGTGTTTTTTCCACTGCATGCTGACTATGACAGTTAATTAACACTTTATGACTTAAAATGAGATCTTACCCTTCTCTTCTGAGCCTTGGTTACTCGAGGCTGTTTGACGTCTTCTTGTTCTTCATCTTCCACCTTAAAGGACTCCACTCCATTTATCACCTCCTCCACCTTATAACATTGCATAAATATTAGCAGCTGTTATGTTGTCGAAGCTGATCTAGTTCAGAGACTTGAGTTTATGTGCTGTGAACATGACTGTGATCAGGAAGAAGAGTCACAGAGGACTTTTTGTTGGAGCAACACCTGTGTTCAAAACAAGACTTAGTGCTGCATTACTATGGTAATATTGTGCAAAAACATTGTGTATCTTGTAGTTTGTGCTATAAAATAACAGCACACTTAACTGATGCAAATGAAACAGGTGAACTTAATGAAACTGCACATCTATTTAAAGGCTATATGGAAGCTATGTCTTAAAATGAACTCCACCAGCCTGCAAATGGAAGAAAAAGCGGCGAACGGGGCCCAAGGGGGAAAAAAAGGTGGCCCCCCAATTGCAAGGTTGGTGGTTCGATCCCTGACCTCTCCACAGTTGAAGTGTCCTTGGGCAAGACACTGAACCCGAAGTTGCTCCTAATGACGGGCAGCACCTTGCATTAACCATACCATTTACCAACTCTAAAGCCGAGCTGCTTTGGAAAGTATTCAGATCCTTCCACTTAGATTTAGTTTTAAATTTTTACAAAACTGAGAAACTTCTTCCCCATCAATCAAGAGTCCATAATAAGAAACTGCAAAAGCCTGTTTTTTTTTAATGCTGGAAATCCCAGAATCACAGCGTACCTGATCTGCCATCTGAATGCAAACCCTCACCTTTGTGTCAGTTGTAGATTTGAGCTGCCTAATTTCCTCCTCGTGCCTCTGACTGAGGTCGGCCTCTAGCTTGGTAATGTCCTCTGTCAGCTGTTTCCTCCTCTTCTTGTCATTTTTGGGGACGGCATTTTTCATGCTCTGGATTTTAGCTGAAAATGAAGCGCAGAGAAAAGCAGACTGTCCATAATACAATACTCACAAGCAGTCCAAAATACTACACTCAGATGGCGCTGGATATTGGTTAGAAAGATAAATTAATGGACAAATAGGCCAATATTTCTACTATTTCATTTAGCAGACGCTTTTATCCAAAGCAACGTACATCTGAGAGCAGATACAACACAAGCAAGGATCTAGTCAGCAGAAAACAATCTAGATAAGTGCCACAGAACAAATTCAAATGTGATAGGATGTTGATGCCAACAGCAGGCTGTGTGGGAGGTAATAGGATTTATTTTTGTTTGTTTGTTTTTTGTTTGTTTGTTTTCGTGGCTGTCAAGTGCAAAGGTGTTCAGTGAAGAGCTGGGTCTTTAGTCTTTTCTTAAAGACTGAGAGGGATTCAGCAGACTGAACAGAGTTTGGTAACTCGTTCCACCACTGCGGAACCACAGAGGAGAAGAGTCTAGCTATTGACCTCGGGCCCTGTTGTGGTGGTTGTATCAGGTGGTTTGCGTTGGTCGAGCGTAGTGAGCGGGAGGGAGCATAGATCTGAATGAGAGAGTTCAGGTAGGAGGGTTTTGAATTTGATGCGGGCAGCAACTGGAAGCCAGTGAAGCGTTCTGAACAGAAGGGTGACATGTGCTGTTTTTGGCTGGTGGAAACATATATATGAAGAAGAATACACAAACATGTGGCATTAACACACCCTAATGTTCATTACTGATTAGAAAAAAATAAAATGAACACGCTGCTGCACCTGAATTCCAGTAATACACCCTACATTACACTGCATTAATGGTGTACGACGAGTTTCAAACTCCATTGACCTTCTGCTCACACCCCAGCCTGTTCCATCACGTATGGCACTTTACATTTAGCAGGTGATGGACACATTTTGACGTTTGCAATATGGCTGAAGTCATAAAACACGTGAAAGTTTTATCCAAGAATCACATATCTGTGCTAGCTTCAGCATAAAATTAAAACTCCTGAGAGCTACTGGTGGGAAACAGACTGCACAAATGGACAGGAAAACATCTCAGAGTAATAATAATGCTTCAGACCTGTCTCTTATAAAATGACAATATCAACCACCAGGACGGTTAATAGTGACCAGAGGGGGTCTAACCTCTAAGAATTAAGACAACACATGGAGCATACAAACTATCTAATAGCAAAAGCCAAACCTTGAATACACAATAAATGAAAACAGCTGGAGTTAGCTACCCTGCAGATCCTTCTTCTCCTTGCGGTGCTGCTTGGCCAGCAGCTCCTCTGGTGTCTCCACCTCCTCCATAGCTGGACGCTGCTGCTCCGTTTGGTTAAATACGAGGCTTGACGAGCGACATTAATCTGACAACTGAACGTGTTACAGTAAAATATGACACATCACTGGACACAAAAGATAAAAACATACAGTCCACAATAAATAAAACGTGCTGATATGGCCTAATCCGGAAGAGACAAGAGAGCGGGGGCGGAGCTTTCTTCTTCTTCTTCTTCTTCTTCGCCTGGCTTTAGTGTAGCTCCACCGCCACCTCCTGGCCTGTTAGTGTACTACAGCCTTTCACAGCATGTCAATATAAATGTACTTTCACCCTTGTTGTTTGCATAAATATCTCTTTAACTCATGTGACAAAAAGGCCAGTGAGAGAACACATGTGGTTCAATATACAAATGACCTGTATTTGGTTATTTAATCACAACTTTTTTCTTTTTTTTATCTGAGATAATGTGAACAGCTGATATGTGTTTCCTTGTTCTTATCTTAGAGTTGCACAAACATTACATCACTCTTTTATTCGCTGGTTTCCAACCTGGATAATGAACACACCAAGGACTCCCAGGAAACACTGGAAACTTCAAAAAGGTATAAGAAAGGCAATAAACATATGTTTGTTTGTTTTTCATATGGAATACTCTATATCTTCTTTTCTATGGGCTACTAAACAACATTAAGATAAAAAAATAAAAATAAAAATCACTCTTGATAAACCTATAGCCTAGGAGTGGACATGTATGGTGGTGATCCAGTTCAGTATCAGTTCAATTCAGTTTTATTTATTTGGCACCAATTCACAACATAAGGCCAACTTAAGGCCCTTCATATAGTAAGATAAAGAAACTACAAAAAACCTGACAAAATCATCATCAAAAGTAGCACTAGCAGGAAGAAACCAACACCAAAACCAGGCTCAGGAAGGGCTGGCATCTGCCTTAACTGGTTGGGATGAGGGTTAAAAGGAAGAGAGAAAACTATAGCAGATAGAAATCACATAAAAGACAGTAAACACTGGGGAGATTCATAAGAAAAGTAACTGCAGATCAGAAACATGTGGCTCCAGAGCCAGAGATACCTGCAGACAGGACAAAACTACAGCAGAGAGAAGATGCAAAGTCAGTCTCATGCAATGGTGGCATGTAAATGTATAGAGTAAGAGGAAAATCCAGAAGAGGTGCTCAGTACATCATGGGAGACCTGGGCCTGGGCCTGCAGCAGCCAAACTGAGGGATGATTCAGGGTCACCTGAGCCAACCCTAAATGTAGAGCTGATTTAACAGCAGTGGAGCCTGATGGCTGAAAACTCTGCTACTCCCAGTCTGCTTTTAGAAACTCTAGCTACCACAAGTAAACCTGCACAGTGAGAGCAGAATGTTCTGTTAAGACAGTGGGGTACAATAAGGCCTTTACAAAAATGATAGAACTCAATCATCAAGGGCTTCATTTGTGTAAAGAATGATTTTAGATTCTATTCTGGATTTTACAGGGGGTCAATGAAAAAAAGCTGACATGGAAGAAATCAGATCTCTCTCAAAAATAGACTTCCTTTTAATGGGTCACAAGAAAAGAAGGCGGTTGGGAAACATGCTTTAAACGTACATGACTGTTATTTTGAATAGCCATGACAAAATGTCTGTAGTCACATATTGATCTTGATCCTTTTTATACAAATCAGCAAGTGTGGCGGATGTACTTTTATTGAAAGCTACAATATTATCAAAATATAAAGTGTGTAATGTATTCAAAACAGAAATCCAATTATTATAAATGAGAATGAAGTGTTAAAAGTGTTAAGGAGCTTGTTGATGCTGCTTGTGGAACATCGTCCCACTCTTCCTGAAAGGCTCGGCAAAGCTGACAGACACTTTAGGGGACAGTTTCATGTTGGACACCATGTGTCAGGTTGTCTGTTGTACCATGCTGTCTCTAATGATGTCTGAGATGACAAATGGCAAAGGTGTGGAAACTCACACGTCATCTATAGCACAGTCTCATCTTGTTCTTATCATCTGTGGCATCTTGTCATTTGAATAAAGCTGCATTTCAAGGTGGTATTTCATAGTCACTGGTCAAAGGAGTGTCTGTGTGCTGGTCACACTCTGTGATCATTGTCTTTTAAAGCCACACCTGACTAGACTGTGGATTAACTCAGCGGTGGAGAATTTGTCATCAGGTGAACAGCTCAAAATCTTCTTCCCTTTCTCAACCATGGTAATCAAATGTTTGAACATGTTCTCTGTGGCAGAATATTGACCATTTGCATACTGCTTTTATATATGTGTTCAGTGTAGACACGTAGAATGTAACTGAGATCAGAGAAAACAAATATGCAAACACACAATTTTGCAGCAAGTTTTTAAACTAAATGATTCGCCAGGTGGTGTCATTAACATGCACAGTGGATAAAACATTTTTTCTTTTTTTTTTTCTAAAGCAGGCTGCACATCAGAGCAGCTGCTGTCGGACGGAGACGCGCCGTGTGACGTGGCACGCGGAGCGGAAGAGCTTGTTTGTGTTTTGGTTCTGAGGGGAAGTTGCGAGAAGAAAAAAAAGAAAGGAGGAGACGTGACGGGATTGTTGAAATTATTCTCTTGGTTCCCCAACACCACCTCACCACAGTGTCCCGGGTTCCGTGTGTAAATACAACAGCGGCGGTACTGAAAGTTCCGAACATCGTCTGGCTCTCAGGTAGCGTTGACTTGACATGATCCGACAAGTTGTGGTTTCCAGCTGGCTCACTGACTAACGCTGTCATCGGTGACTTCGCTAGCTTAGCGCCGTCGCTAGCTGACTCCCGCTAATGTCGGTGATGTTTGACTGCTAAGGGAATGTAGAAATACAGGCCTTTGTCACATCCTACGAGTCCGGCTGTTCCTCTCGTGTGGTAACGCGGTGTCCTTTGAAAGCTGCTAGCAGTGTGTTGGTGTAGCTTGTTCAGTGACTTTGCTTCGCTAGCGGCTAAATGGGTGGAATCGGGTCAGTGGGTGGAATGCTAACAATGCTAGCAAGCTAATGTTTGTTAATTGAGGGTTTGGCTACTCCCTTTTCTGTAACACTAGCAAAGCTGCGCCAACAAGCAACGTTTGAGTTTAATAACGCCACGTAAAAAAACGACATTTCATTTTATGCTGTTTATTATCCTGTCATTTTACGACCGTTTCCTACTGAGGCTAATGTTACCCATTAGCTTTCTAACTGCCCAGGTAGAGCGCTAATGTTAGCTGACAGCATGCAAGCTAACTGGCGAGAGAACAAAAACAATTTGGTAATGGCGTCCCCCTCTAATATCCAAACACATACGTAGCGTCTTCTAACATCCGTAAGTGTGTTTACAGTCAACAGACGACGGTTAAATCTAAATGTTTTGTGAGCATCTCAGTCAGGCAGTGCGCAGTGTTTGTTGACAGTCTGTGTCATGAGTCAGAGTAAAAACAACTGCTGTTCTCATCGCAGTTCCTTGTGTGTGCTTAGTTCTTGCTTCTTTTCGAGATTTCTTCTCAAAATTTCTCTGTGAACATGAAGCTCAAACGTTTGACCCTACTGCTTAGGTGATGACCTTATGGGTCATTTTAGGAGAGTTGTGTCCCAAAGCCTTTAATTTAGGAGGATAGTGTTATTCCCTTTCCCAAAAGTCCTTTTTATGTTAAGAAAACAATTTTGCTCCATGTTATAAATGCCATTTATAACTGAAATCCCCTTTTATGTGGTTATTATTTCAGAAGATAATTTGTTGAAAATCATACTGCATAAATACACCTCAGTTTGTGAACTTGTAAAGCAAAAGTTGTGTTCTAGTTATTGTCTAAATGTGTGATCAAGAGCTTTTATATCAGTGCTCTGATGCATTTCAGATTAGTGTAACTTTAGCAGTCGTGAAGCCAGCACTTTACGGATTGATGTTACACTTTGAAATTATATTTGAAATGTAATTATAGCTGTATCCACTCAGTTATGTAGTTGATAAACGTAGCTTAATAAGCACCTGTAGATCTGAACAATGTTTTATAGAGCAGGCTTGCAAAAAGAAATCGATGTAGGCTGTGTATCTCAGTTAAATGATATAATGTACACTTGAAAATATAATATAGTGTATTACAGCATCGTCATAAACTGCGGGGTCAGAATTCACCATAGAGGCCACAGTTACCATCAATCAACACCTCTCTGAGGACAATATCACTAAAATGTGATTAATGTGGTTAACAAAGGTAGCCGTTGTACTTTATTACATTACACAGCATATGTGATTCTAATGGCGAGTTTGCTTGGGGGTGCACGGTGAAAGTCGTGTTTGTGATCAGGGAAAACATTCCACGAATCACGCTCAGGACAAGACGGACACAGACTGTGACTATCTCCGGACAACAGCCGTCTCTTTTTTTTATACACATTACTGAGCAAGTCATTCCTAAATAAGTTAGTAAGCAATGCATGAATGCATGGTATGCATCCATACAGCAGTTCTGGCAGTTGAAACAGGCTTGACTAATGTGGGTGGGTTTTTTTCACCCACTCGCTGTCGCCCTTGTCATGAATCACTGTTGTGGTTCATCATGACAAGGCTTTCTTTGCTTTCCGTTACTGTATGTGCTTGTGGTGGGCTCTAATGTCATCCATAAAGAAACGTTGACACCAAGTGGCTACTGTAACTCTGGCTAAATTCCTCCATTGCAGGTTATCAGCTAAGAAAACTGTGTCAACAATGGCGCATGTTGACAAGTTTCAAGGAGGGGTTTGTTGTTTGAAGGGCTTTTAACAGGAGTTGTTAGGTTGTATTACATGAAATTCATTCTCAAGTTAATCTGTTTTGCAAACCTAATTCACTAATAGTTATAATTTAAGAAAGGAAAGTTATTGCGTGTACTATAGGTATATGCTTATTTACATTTTAGCTTATTATTCGCCTAGTTTGTTGCTTTAGGAGGTGAAATTCATAACTTGATGCTATTGTCTCCTTAGTAGTAACTAAAAGTATTTTACAAACATTGCAGCGACGTGTGGAATTCCTGTAGAAACCTGCTGTTTATCTGAACTGGCCTCTGCAAAACCTGAAAAATGAACATGTAGAAGTCATACTACTGGGCTGCTGCTTGGCTTTGACGTGTGAAAGTAAGGGAGAGATGCACCTCCTTTTATGCAGTCAGTTAGGACAGATTGGTGCCACCATATTTAATTAGCTCAATTAAATCTGTTGGC